GTGCATAATTCGTTAACACCCTCCACGCGCGTCCTTCTCATCCCGCTTCCATCGTCGGGATTTATCAGCGATTTCGCGAACATTTGGTCCTTCGAGCCGGATGCGTGGAAATTAAAGTGTAGCTCAGACTCAGATCATGTGAACAGAGCATGCCCTTCACGACATGCCGCGTGGACATTATCGCGCGCTTTCGCAAGTGAAGGACAGACATTCTCACGCGCGCTCGCGAGTGTTACGAAAACATGTTCACGCGCTCCCGCGAGTGTAAACAGACATTTTCACGTGCTCAATATAGGACATTGTAGACTCTCGATTCGCGTAGTGTTGTCCTAACGCGTTTCTCGAACGTTCTCGCCTCTTGCAGTGTTTCTCATACGTGTCTCGACGATTCTCAGGTCTCTCAGCGGGCGCAGCTCATTGACGTCTCATCATGCCGGATCCCGCCAAAGATGCGACGGGCGGCAAGACCCCGCCATTGCTCAAGCTGCCGGATGACAAGCGCACTTCAGATCGCCAGGCCTCACCGGTGCGTTTGTCTGCTGAACTCACCTTAAAGGTGAGGACTCAGATGAACCGCATCGCGACAGTGCGGAAAATCGGCGAGACGTTACCATCGTCTGTAGAGGACACGTCTGTGGATGAGATTCTACAAATCTCGATTCAACTCGAGGAGGTGCACAAGGCGTTCCTCAAGGAACACGCCTACTTCGAGGTCTCATGGCCGGCGGCGCTCATCGATCATGAATATTTCTCCAACGACGCCTTCGCCGTGGAGGCGGAGGAGTGTATGACGGCTCGTCGTGCTCTGGCAAAGCTCAAGGGCGCATTGACGGAAAAGATCGCTCCGACGACAGCTCCTGTAGCGGCGCAGCCCGCACAATCTTAGCAGAGATTGCCGGACATTAGCATCCCGTCCTTCAAGGGCGTCTACGAGGCATGGCCTACATATCGTGATCTCTTTAAGGCTGTTATTTATGACAGCCAACGGCTCACCGACGTGGAGAAACTCCACTATCTGCGGCTCTCACTGGAAGGCCCACCTGCTCAGCTCATTTCTGGTCTGCCGCTCACCGGCGATTCGCTCAAACCATCATGGGAAATGCTCGTCGATCGCTACGAGAACAAGCGGCTGCTCATTCAGTCTTATCTGGACCAGCTCTTCGCCAGCTCAACACCGGTGCAAAAGAACGCCAAGGCACTCGACAAGCTGCTCAACACGTTCAAGGAGGCCATCAAAGGCCTACAATCCTTGGGCGTCTCGCAGGATCTGGGCGACTGCGTCTTAGTGTACCAGTTGTCCAGGCAGCTGGATCGCCAAACCAAAGAGCAGTGGGAGACGTCGTTGGGCGTTGCGCGCGAGTACCCGCGATTTGAGAAACTCGAGCAATTCCTCACAACGCGAGCTAGGGCACTCGAGAGAGTCGAGTCAACGGCCAGCTCAGGAAGCGCGGCAGGGGCTGCTCTAGCAACACGGCGCTCCTCGGCTCATCATGCGGCAGCTCAACCGGCACGCACCAACACATCAGACGGCTCAACAGAGTACCCGTGCGACTGCTGTAACGGCACGCACTTCGTGGTGACGTGCCCGAAGTTCAGGGAACTCTCACCGGGTGATCGACAGAAGCTAGCCATCTCACGGAGGCTGTGCTTCAACTGCCTCGGCCGTCACAACGTTCGCTCATGCAAGAGCTCACGGGGGTGCAAGAAGTGCACCTACCGACATCATACGATGCTGCATGAGGCACATCAGAGCGACTCATCCTCGAAGCCAACCACCAGCTCAGCCTCAGCACCTCAATAGGACAACGGTGCAATCGTCGCACGCTCATCTTTGGCTCGCTCATCACACTCAACGTTACTCGCTACGGCCCTGGCTCAGATCAGCTCATCGGTTAATACTCAGCACGTACGGCTTCTCATCGATACAGGTTCTGAACTTACCTTTGTCTCAGAATCGCTCATCCGTCAGCTCAACATTCCTCGTCATCATTCTGTCATTCTCATCACCGGAATTGGTGGCGGAAAGGCCACGCAAACTCGAGGAGTTGCACTCCTCAAGCTCCGCTCACTTCGCTCACGATCAGACGTCATCATTCAAGCTCACATTTTACAGACGTTAACCAACATCCTGCCATCATTCAACGCTGCACCACAGGAATGGCCGCATCTCACCAAGTTAACCTTGGCTGACCCCGATTTTCTGACACCGCGGCCAGTGGATATTATCATTGGAGCTGACTCATATGGGCAAATCATCAAGCCCAACATCATCAAGCAAGACACATTGATGCCTATTGCGCAGCTCTCAATTTTCGGATGGCTCGTTCTCGGACCTGTCGACACATCATCATCAGCATCTGCTGCAGTGCATCATGCATTGATTCAGGAGAGGGAAGATGCTCTCTACGAGTTACTGTCGAGATTTTGGATACAGGAAGAAGTGCCTGCGAGCAACAATCCTGAGCTTACTCCTGACGAGCAAAGATGTGAAGAACACTTCAAGAGTACTGTCTCACGGGACTCAACAGGTCGATACACAGTTCGACTCCCACTAAAATCATCACCTGATACTCTTGGCAACTCGTATCTCACTGCGCATCGATGTTTGCAAAGTTTACAAAGGAGATTCTCCCGAGATGACAACTATCGACGTCTGTATCATCAATTTATGACAGAATATCGAGATCTCAACCACATGAAAAAAGCTTCACCCGTTTCCAGTCAGCAACCGCAATATTATTTGCCACATCACGGAGTGCTCAAACCCGACAGTGCAACCACGAAATTGCGAGTGGTATTCAATGGCTCGAGCGCATCCACATCTGGTCGCTCACTTAATGATATCATGCACACGGGAGCCAAGTTGCATTTAGACGTCACCGATGTCTTGCTCTGGATTCGACAATTTCGACACCTAGTTGCCACGGACATCACCAAGATGTACAGACAGATCAACGTGCATGAAGATGACTGGAACTTACAACGGATTCTCTGGCTCGACGAACTGCTCAACGAAGTGGCCTATTATCTAACCACGGTCACGTATGGAACCAAGGCTGCCCCGTTCTTGGCAGTACGAACGCTGCTGCAACTGGTGGAGGACGAAGGCCATAATTTTCCTCTTGCAGTGCCGTCCATCCTTCAAGGTCGATACGTCGACGACATCTTTGGAGGCGCTGATACTGTCCAACAGTTAATCAAAATTGCATTGCAGCTGAAGAACTTGTGCAGGGTGGGCGGCTTTCCATTGGCCAAGTGGCACGCAACTCATCCAGACGTGCTCACTGCTGTTCAAGCAGAGAAAGACCAGGGCTCACAAATTACATTCGACGATTGCGCAACCAAGATACTCGGATTACGATGGCTTCCTCAAGAAGATTCATTCGCATTCGCAACAAGGATCTCGTCGCATACCGATCATCTCACCAAACGCCTCGTTTTGTCTGAAGTGGCTCAGATATTCGATCCACTAGGCTTTGCATCACCAGTCGTGATCAAGGCGAAGATGCTCTTGCAGGAGCTTTGGCTTCACAAGCTCCAATGGGATGAACCACTGCCATCCCAGCTCTCATCACGGTGGCTCATCATCAGAAAGGAACTTACCAGCTTGCGCAAGATCTCAATACCTCGGTGGTATAACACATGGAGTACATCGACGGTGGAATTTCACGGCTTTTCTGATGCTTCTCAACTGGCAATGGCTGCAGTCGTATTTATCACCGTCCACGGCTCAACTGGTACCACGATTTCATCGGTGTGCTCCAAAACAAAGGTAGCACCGCTCAAGCGGCTCACCATCCCGAGACTGGAACTCACCGCAGCTCTGCTGCTCTCAAGACTCATGCAATACGTTCAAGCCACATTGAAGTTGAACGTCACAACAACTCACCTGTGGACGGACTCTGTTGTGACACTCACGTGGATCAAATCTCATGCATCGCGCTGGAAGGATTTCGTGAGAAATCGGGTCTCTCAAATACAAGAGCTCACTGCGAACGCACATTGGAAATACGTACCAGGTACGTCCAACCCAGCCGACTGCGCCTCACGAGGATTAAACACTGCTCAACTCCAAAGCCACTCATTATGGTGGACGGGACCACCGTGGATACTCACCCCCGAAGCTTGGCCATCTCAACCCGCGCTTTCGGACGAGTTGAGCACGCATGAGGCTCGTCCTGGCATTGCGCTACATGCGGCCGCATTTCAACCGGACTATCACTGGGACCTGATCTATAGGTACTCATCTCTCAACAAGTTATTGAAAATAACAGCTCTTTGTTTCAGATTCATATCGCTTCTGGGAAAGCGCCGACGCAAAACTCTGGACTTACACTCAGCTTTGGAGGAGGCCAGATTTTTCTGGATTAAGGCTACTCAAGCGGCATACTTCACGCACGAGATCAAGATGCTCACGGCCAACTCGAGACTACCAACTGCTCACGCATTCAGCCGATTGACTGCGTATATAGACGCTCAAGGGATCATCCGAGTTGGCGGCCGCCTCAACCAATCAGCACTAGCTCAAGACAGCAAGCATCAGGCGATTTTGCCTCGCCACTCCCAGCTCTCAACCTTGATCATTTCTCATGCTCATCTGCGTACTCTGCATGGAGGAACTCAGCTGACATTGGCTCATGTCAGGCAAAGCTACTGGATCATCGGCGGACGGGCTCCGGTGAAGTCGCATATTCTGCGGTGTGTCGTGTGTGCTCGGCAGAGGGGGATCCGTGCTCATCAATTGATGGGCCAACTACCTCTCTCTCGGGTTACGCCGTCACGTCCGTTTACTCACACAGGAGTTGACTATGCCGGACCGCTCACCATCAAAGCATGGAAGGGACGAGGTGCGAAAACATATAAAGGATGGATCTGTGTGTTCGTCTGTTTCTCCACCTCCGCAATTCACCTCGAAGTAGTCAGTGACTACTCATCAGAAGGATTTATCGCAGCCTTCCGAAGATTTTCCGCGAGAAGGGGAATTGCTCAGACCATATATTCGGACTGCGGGACAACATTCATTGGAGCAGACGCCGCGCTCAAGAAAATGTTCATCCAGAGCTCACAAGAACATCAACAGATCGCTCAAATTCTACAACAGGATTGCACCAGATGGGAGTTCAACCCACCAGGCGCTCCACACATGGGGGGCAAGTGGGAGGCGGTGGTGAAATCGGTGAAGTTTCACCTGAGACGGACTATCGGGGAGACTCTACTCACAACGGAAGAACTCACAACGTTGCTTACGCAGATCGAGGCCATTCTCAACTCGCGGCCTTTAGAACCGTTGAGTGACGACCCTGAAGATGTCTCAGCGCTCACACCAGGTCATTTCCTCATTGGAGGTCCACTCACTACCATACCTGAGCCATCTCTGATTGACCTAGCAACCTCACGCCTATCTCGATGGCAACTCATCCAACAGCGGGTTCAACATTTTTGGGCACAATGGTCGGCTCATTATCTGCAACGCCAGCAGGCGATATCCAAGTGGCATCATCTTAACAACAATATCAAGGTGGGGTCCATCGTGCTGCTCACCGACGAACGCTCTCCACCGTGCAAGTGGCCACTCGCCAGAGTAACAGCTGTGCACCCCGGCAAGGATGACTCACCAGGGTGGTTACCCTCAAGACGGCCACCACGACACTCACTCGGCCAAGTGCCAAGCTTGCGATTCTACCCATCTCAACTGAATGAAGGATCAAGAGTAAGGAATCATCAACAAGGTTGCTGATGGCGGGCGGAATGTTCGAGATTCCCTTAACGTTGCGCCGTCCGATCAGATGGCAGCATCGATCGGGTAACGACGTTCGATCGCCGCGGCAGCTTGCGCCCGCACGGGCGCGCTCATCGCCACCTTCTTCCTCGCGATCGAGGCAATTGTGCAAATGGCCGCGCGGTGACAAGTCGCATTACGTGTGCTCAGTGCATTTCGATAAGTTACTTCGGGTAATCGTTCACATCGTAGTACCCACGCTGTTTTAGATCGTATCATAGACTGTGAAATAGACCGCTCATCAACTCTGGTGCCTCAACACGACGACTCAAACACACACGCGCGCGAGTGCCGATCGCCACGTGTCTCACCGGCTCACGGGCGACTCACCACACGAGAAGGGCAATTAATGTAATTGTCGCTCGCCTGCAACGATCATACACAGACGTTTCTTTGTACACCGCTCATCGATTCTCAGGTCAGATTGTAATAATTTCGATACATTAAAGACGGCTCAGACTGTGGTCTGAGTTACATAAAATAAAGTGCATATTCAGTTAACACCTTCCACGTGCGTCCTTCTCATCCCGCTTCCATCGCCGGGATTAAACAGCGATTTCGCGAACAGGTACATTAAAAGCTACCGCCTGATAGAATGACGATCTGATTTCTTGCTCTGTGAGAGGCACTGCATTATCACATGATTCATATTCTCTAACTATAGAGTCAAAGCGTTTGCAAAAATCATTTACTTTTTCATCTTTGTTCATTTTAATCTGATAGAGACGAGCTCTTACAGATGTATGAGTTACATTTATTTCATTCTTCTTATATCCTCTTAATTTCTTTAAAATATCTGATGGATCTTTTTTATGCAAAATTCTCTTATGATAATTTTCATCTATATGATTAATTATGATATCTCTAACAAAACTTTTTAATTTAGCGATTTTTGATTCCAAAAGATTTTCTGGATCTTTTATACTTGCATCTATTACATCTAGCAAATCATTGTTCATTAACTCTGATTTTAAATAATTAATCCATCCAAAGATCAAAGTTAGATTTCTACGTAAGCTTATACTCTCTTCTAATATGTAGTTTCTGATTATTTAAATCAATTTCTATCGCGTTTTTAAATGCTTCTAAATCTCTACTTTTATCTCTAATTTCGGCTGAGCAGATTGCTTCTTCTACTTTTCTCTTTTTCGGTTCTTTTTGTATTTCAATAACTTTTTCAAGATTATTTTCTTCTAAATTTTGTATATTATCGTTATTTACCTCTAACCGTCTAAGTTTCAGTCTTTCACTCTCTAAATTAGCCTCAGAAACTCGCACCATATTCTCTATCATAGAATTTGCCTGCGTCATCACCCTTTCCAAGGTTTTGAATGTGGTCTCTAATTTTTCAGTCATTGCCTCATTTTTCGCGATAAGTTTTTCTTGTTGTTCATACAGGATCTTATTACCAATCGGAAGAATTGGTTTATCCTCTCTCACAAATCTCGGCAGTCGAATTTCTTCTGTGATTCGGGGTTTCTCTTTTGGTTTTGAGGTGGCCCCTCGTGTCTCTAGCTCTTTCTCTTTCTCTATATCTGTGTAAATGTTCAGATTATTATTTTAATTTCATTTTTGAACACTTATATTTACACTTTTGCTATCTCTAACCTTCTAATTTTCTTTTATTTTACTCTTTGAACAATATTCTCTTACCTTTTTCTTCTATCATTTTTCTCTCTATTACTGTCTCTGTGCTGTCATCACTCCCATAGTCTACCAGGAGATTCTGGTCCTTCTCTACGCATCCTTTGTCTTGTCTAGTTTTATCCATCTATATCGGGATTTCAAATATCAATTGGACATGAATAATATTCTTTTTCAAAACAAATTCAATATCCAATATATTGATATTATAAAATTTATAATTTTATCGTCGAGTTTTTTTCAACAATAAAACTTATTTATTGCTTACAAGACCATACAGAACGCACTGCAATTCATAATGATCTGAAAGCGAGAAACCACGCGCCTCTGCAGAGCCATCCGCACATGCACACCACTATCCCGTGCGATCTCCAGCACTGCTGAAAAGATCTATAGGATATCGGGTTGATCACGCACGCGCACGGGACTCGTACAGATTTACGCGGCCTCCTTAAACAGTAATCAAGCTACACCGCACTGCAAGTCATGCTTGATCACCGACCCGATGCATGTCGATTTTGAAAAATAATTCCATACACATGCATGTATATACATATGTGTGATGGTGTCGCATTGATGCTATGTTTTTCTAATCGATCATGCGTCAGCGCGTGCCCGGCAACAAGTTCTTCGCGCCAAAAACAAAGACTCTCGCCGTTCACAATTGGACTTCCGCGCGCCAAAAGAAATGACTCTCGCCGTTTACGATCGGACTTGCACGCGCACGTCGCCGGCATGTTACCAAGCGGCATCTTTCTATCTTTTTCTATCACACATCTATTCTCTATTTCTCTTTTTCCATTGCACATCTATTCTCTAATTCTCTTAGAATTTAGTTAATTTCTCGCATCTACTTTATCAGCGCTGTTTTTCGTGTACATCGACGATGATTTCTCTATCTTTTCTAACAGCATTTATCGAACGAACGTTCTTATTAACTGAAAGTTTTCTCGTTTTGCTCGTCAGCAACGAGGAATATTATTTACTTACCCTCTAGTTTTCTATTCTCTGTCTGCGTCTAATTCGTCTATCTGTCGTCGTTGCCACACACTTCTCACAGATCTTCCGCAGGACAAGCGTGCCCTGGGCCCATAACCTGTTGGAATTATGCTCTCCGCAGGGATCGAGATGGTGGTGGTGATTGATAACGAACGACTTCTCAATCTGCTGTTATTATAACTTTTTATTCTCGACTCTATCTTTACACACAGTATAAGACACCGTATAAGACACGTGTGCACGCGATGAGCTCAGACTGTCGTCTGTCGCTTCGTACGGCGTTCGCGGTTTGCGCACGCGTTGCTGCGCCACGCAGTGTCCTCTGGAAGGGCGCGAGTGCTCTACTCGCACAAAGCATCTTTCCAACAATAACTGGACTATTACTTAAAATACACTCGTACAAAAAAAATAGGGAACACTTTGTAACGGCCTGACTTTATCGAACGCGGACTGGTGTGCGGGATCAGGAGTCCGATGACAGGCCTAGAGACAATAATCAATTTAGACATGCAGTAGTTTATTCACAGTTTAAATTACATACACGAAATGACGCGATATATACAACGAAAGGGGCAGTGCGGATGCACTCGATAACGGATGCGGTATCACGTTATTCGGCGGGGCTCGGTATACCCGAAGCGGGATGTTAGCGCGGTATGTGCGCAGGGACGGACAGAACGCGGTATATACAACGAAGAGGTAGTGCGGGGCACTTGATGACGAACGCGGTATCGCTACTCGACGGGCTCGGTATATTACATAGCCGTATTACATATAGGCGGACGCGGTATATTTACCGGTAGTGCCTTGGCACTTGATAACGGCGCGGTATTTAATAACGAACGCGGTATCGTTACATAGATGTATTCCACAGGCTCGGTATTTTACATAGACGGATTACATATAGGCGGACGCGGTATATTTACAGGTAGTGCCTTTGCATTTGATAACGGCGCGGTATTTAACAACGAACGCGGTATCGTTACATAGACGTATTCCACAGGCTCGGTATTTTACATAGACGGATTACATATAAGCGGACGCGGTATATTTACAGGTAGTGCCTTTGCACTTGATAACGGCGCGGTATTTAACAACGAACGCGGTATCGTTACATCGACGTATTACACGGGCTCGGTATATTACATAGCCGTATTACATATAGGCGGACGCGGTATAATGCCTGGAGGCTCGCGGATGTCGCGGTATCGCGATGGTATGCGTGCGGGAACGCGTAGCGTAGTATGGAAGATTTCCGGAGCCCCGGGGCGGCGGCAGCGAGAGCCCTCGTTGCGAGGCCGAGCGCGCTCGACCCCGCGTAACCGTGCCTTCGGGGTTAAGTTTTGAAGGAGTGCGAGAACATCTGAGAGCCCTCAGTCGAGGCTCGGAGCACCGGACCTCGTTTTGTGTGTTCCCTGGGAGTCGGGATAGGTTGCGTCTGGAAGAAGCGGAGCTTTTTGACGAAGTGTCTTTTTCTCGCCGGAACGGCGGTTTATATACCCGGCCGGCGCGGCGGGTCCGCTAGGAGCGCCGATCGTCGCGCTGTGGTGGGGCGGCGCGGCGCCGCGCTCGCCCTCGGGGCGGCTCGGTTCCCGTCGTCGCTCGTTGGGAGGCACCGGTGCCGCGCTTGGCCCGCGCACACGGTGCGTTTTGAATTTGCTTAAAAATGTGGGCGCACCGCGCCCTGGTCTTCGCCCGACTGGTCGTCGGTCGGGCGGCATCCGGCGGTCGTTTGCCGGGAACGATGCTTAGCGCACGGGTGCATCGTTACACCTTCATGAACCCTAAAAATTGGGCTATTTTCAAACTGCTGTAAGTCGGCGAAAAATTATCGTAAAAAAATATCTAAAAAAGCATTTTGAAGCTTGAAGTTTCAACTTTAACGCATTTTCGGTGGATTTAAAAAATTTTTTTATTTTCTCTGTTGTACGCCTTAAAAAAGAACACATTGTTTTGTTCCTTAAAAATAACTTATGTTTGACTACTTAAAACTTAATTAAAAAAATTTTTTTCAAAAAATTTAATTAACGTTTCATAAACTACATAATTTTACCTACAAAATGCTTTTTTTTAAATTTTTCTACGATTTTTTTTGATCGATTTACACGACTTTGAAGCAAACCCTGTATTTTTTAGAAAAAATAACTCGACGTAACTCGATAAAAAATCATCGTAGAACAAACAAAAAAAAAACATTTTAAAGCTCAAAATGTCAGCTTTAACGTGATATCGGTGACTATAAAAAATTTTTCTGTTTTTCTTGTTTGGTGCTAAAATTAAAAATGTTGATTTATTCCTTAAAATTACACATTTTT